AATAACTGCGATACTGTGACGGACCGAAAACGTGAACAGGTGCAGAATTCAGGACGATAATACCGTTATTTTTTCTGGGTGTAGACAGGGATAGACAGTTGGGTTTCAAAGGGCCATTCATGTTGGTACAATAGGCCTGCACGTACAGTATCTCATAGTATGTTGCACTATACTCTGTTTTTCCATACTTCTCTAAAACCCCGAGCTCATTAAGAGAAGTTCCTTCGTGTTCACGTGACTTTTCTCTCGGTTCCCAGGTGCAAGCCTGACTGCATTAATCGTCTCTTAATTATTCGCCATCTCTTGTCCCGAGTACCCAAGGAGAGCGCCAACCTGGCCGTTGTGTAGCTATCCTAGCTGTTACACAAATGTTGAGTTACCATGGCGTTGTCCTAAACTACACAATGTAAATAAGGCAGAATAATAAAAAAAAACATGAAGCTTACAAAGCACAAACTGTAGCGTTTTGCATCAAGTGACATAATGCTCAACATTGCACAAGAACCTCTAGTTTACATATCGTTTAATTTTTAAAAACAGGTCATTATCGTTGTGTTGTGATACTGTGCATCAAAACCGAGCAAAATAATTCCAGGTTTTAAACGAAGGTCTTACGCAGATTGGTTAAGGTAAGGTAAGGAAACTTTGGCATTGAACTTGCTAGATGGGGGGAGTTTTCATGTACCTCAGAGGTACTGACTAAGTCATCCCAGGTGAATGCTCAGCTGGGTGATTCAGATGTTCACAACAGAATGAACATCTCTTAGGAGAAAATCGGAACTCCCCCGTTTACCACCTCTTGCTTAGCAGCTAATTGCTAAGCAGGAATTGTTGAAATGTGATAAAGGGTTAAATGTGAGGACTCAAGAGTGTGGTGCAGCAAGGTCTAAAACATACGTTAGCACAGGCTGGACCGTTAGTACGGATCAGTACTGAACAGCGCACTGTCTTGAAGCTGACATTTAGCCTCTGCAAAACCGGGCAGGACGAGTTCCTCAAGCGCTCTTTCCTTTCAAGGAGTACAGGTCCTTGAGTTATTCTTCAGAGCACAAACCACAGCGTCACAGACATGATTGGGCTATTGGGTCCGGCGAGCTCGTTTGCTTGTTAGTAATTCAATGAGACGAAGACGCCAGGGTGCAGGCGTGGACACGTTGGCTTCTCCCACATTCTCTGTTTTACCTTAAGCAACAGGACAAAAACTGAACAGCCATGTTAGGTCACTGCCCTATTCCAGCAGTAAGCAAAATGCCACTGCGACTTCATCCGGCAGGTTCTTCATAAACCGCAGATGCAGCCTTTGTTGCTTGGTGTGTGATATACAGCAAAAAAAAACTATATTATTTTCTTCGCAATTGTGAGATTTGCAAGTAAATGTGTTTTGTTGCTGAATCAATGAGATGCTAAACTTTTCTGTTAGTCCTTCTTCAGGAGGTTTTGTGGATTTAAGATTAATGTCGTGGGGGGGCATCTCCAATTGAAACGATGAAGAGCTTTTAATAGTTGAGTGATGGCGACATCTAGTGGTCCAACAGAAAACTACTATTTGTTCCAAGTAGTTCAGGTGGGGAGCTGCGTCAGCATGCGTAGGCTGCAAAGGAGCAAGTAATAGGTTTATCCCATGCTGAAAAGAGAAGAAAGAACACAACGTTTCGGCTGTGGAGTCTTCTTCAGGTGAAAAAGGTT